CCATGATTACCATTTAGTGTTTTATTTGTTTAATTATCTTGAAGAACTATCTTCCTTCAGTAACTGATTTGTTCCTTTTGGTCATAAACCATAGTACTCATAGAAGGTCTCTTTTTTTTTTAAATAAAAGCCTTTTTAAAATTAATACAGATGAGTTAGAGCACAGGTCAATGCACATGTCCACAGAAAACTGAATATTCCACAATAAGATATCTTTTTGTTACAGCACTGAAATTTTCTCCGTATGATGCACTCTATGATATTCAGGTTTTTAGTCCAAATCATATTCAACAACTGAAGTTCATGTTTTGTTCTTTACATTTTCCAAACTGAAGATCAGAGTACTGCCATTACATCTTCAGTTGCAAAAATGGAGAGAAAGAACAGAACGTGAGCTTCAATCTGTGGTATTCTGAGGAAACCAATCCCTCCTCCCAAGAATGAATAAGATAGGCCCACATAATAACAAGACATTTGATTAAAATATTTACTGTGAATTCTGAGTTCTGAGAAATTGAGTTAGTGAGGAAGAGATTGTACAAAAGTACAAGGAACAAACTTTATTCAAATACAACACAAACACAGCGTGTGTATTTATATGACACTTAAGAGTTAGATAGTCGTCTTTCGTTGGGGAGCTAAATTCAAAACTCTTTCTCTCTCAGAGTTTGTTTCAGACTGAATAAGGATCACGTTACGTTAAAGGTAACGTAAAACTTACCCAGAACAACTTGGCTACCCATTGAAAATAACGTGGGTCAGAACATCTAGGTATCACCTAATTATCAATGAGAAAGAAGCCGCCTGTTTTAAATTGTTACGTACGTCCTTAAATCTGTTACGACAGCGGAAGTCACGTGACCCTAGTAACAAGTCATGATATTCTAGAAGAATCATGTCTGTTCGTGGCAACTCTGGTCTTTTCTACGCGCCCTCTATTCTTGTATATAAGTGCTCCAGATAAAGCGAAATAAATTAATCGGAAATTGAATTGCAGACAGAGAGATATAGAGACAGATAATCGAATTAAGCCGGAAGTAAAGTGCGTGAAACGTTGTGAATTCTAGCGTGTGTTGAAGTTAAAATGACTGTGGATATTAAGTGTATTACAAAGTTGAGTTGAGAAAGAATAAACTAGTTTTATTTAAGAAAGGACTTGTATCGCTGAAGTTTCTCGGGAAGAATTTCTACGGAAAATTAATAAACGAACAGAGACGTAACACAGCTATATTTTCAATGGGAAGATAAACAGTGTTATATCAGGTGAATGACACAGAACAATAGGTAGCAACAGTAACTCAATGAACTTCTTTACCAACATGTTATGTAGAAACTACACACATTCGTGCATAAATAAATATATATGAAAAGTTATTGTACTAAAAGTTAACAAAAAGAGTGAAAATACATGGTAAGTCTATATATTAGTATTACGTTCATCAGGTTTTAGGTTTTATATTACTTGTAACGTTATTTTCAAAATAAGAATTCTACGATTTATAGTATGTGTTAGCAGTGCTTCATATGTTAGTTACATTATAACTGAAGATTATGTTCCAAAGAATTTTTACAAACCGCACGGTAAATATAGAATAACAGAAAGTATCATGACAAGAATAAAAGTACCGTTAGAAGACGTGCGTGCTTACCTCACAATCGTGAACATAATAACGAAGCACAACACTGATGTTGAGCAAACTGCTTCGCTAGTGGTGTGTATATAAGATTGGAAGTACTACTTACCACGGCATGCAACTGTCCAGGCAAGACCGGCTGAAGTGGTACTTGCTGCAAAAGAGCGTTTTTCAGGGCTAGGTGGTTTCGGCCAGTAATGAGCAGCTGATCCTTGAGGTGCTGCGGTGGGTGAAAGTATTTACAGGGGGGTTTCTCTCGGTTACATCGGCCCTGAAAGTAAAATTATTCTAGTCATTAGATTTGTTAAAAACTAACTTTAAATACTATAAAATAAAACCAACAACAAATATAGAATTTGATAAAGGCGAATTATGAGTAGTAGTAAAAGTTTATCCACTTATTACTGATAAAAACAAAAATTTACTTTGTGAAACATTCTTCATTTATTTCAACCTGTACTAATTGAAGTGCAAAACTTATACACTGATATTAAATTACTTATTTAATAATTCTTTGTTTGGATACTTCAAATTTTTCTTTCTTAGATTATAAATAACCAAATATGATGATTAAGTATTTTACAGACTATTAATTTTTGTAACGAATTTGTCCCCTGTTGAGACAACGGTAACTCTATGAACTTACAACGGTAAAAAATACGGGGTTCGATTCCACGCGGTGGACAGAGCAGATAGCCCGATTTGGCTTGCTCTATCACAATCAAACAAGCAATATAACGAATTATATATATATGTGTGTGTGTGTTAAATTTGTTTTTTTCTTTTTTCACCAAATGTGAAGTACAGCAAAGGACGAATCTGAGTAACAATTAAAAAAATCCTTGTCAAAAAATTTTCTGCATCTGGCCCCTGTCTTCAAACCTAAACACTTTAGTCATCATTCCGTATATAATTTAAAGTGTATGTCGTATACCAAAATTGGAAAATTTGAACAAGGTTTCTAAGTAAAGTGTCAACTACATGTGCACAGTCATACAAAAAGCAGAGTGGAACCCTGTTTACGAGTCAATAATATGTAATTAATTGACTAGATTACCAATACCTTCTTTCCTTATCTTAATAACACCATAGTAGGTGTATATGAGTCATAGAAATTAGGGTAGTGTCGAATGTCATGACTTTTTAGATAATTAGAATGTTCATTGTCAAAATTAAGTTAAGAAAAATAAAGTGTGGTGTGCCACAAGATAACAAAATGTAAGATATAGCATATTCTAGATTTATAGTTAGCAATTAGTTTGAAGAAGTAGAAGAGCAAGTGGTTCGAATGTGGAAGTAAAAAACTGTTTATAGATCGTTAACAATGTTGAAAACTCTTTTTTTCGAACAACCATCACAAAATGCCTTGCCGAAAATGCCATGTGTCAGATTATAACGGCAGTCAGTATGTCGCATGCATTTTTTATGCAGTGTCGCTATTTAAACTTGGATTTGAGGAGAGTGTCAGTTGCGGGATAAGGCACGGAATGTCGCGCTATAAGAAGGACAGTGTCAATTTTTCCTCATGTAGACCCACACTAGTAAAACGTATCCTCTATTGCGTGAGGAATGTAGTTCTGCATTTCAGAAGAAAAATTAAATATTGTTGAATACCTAAACATAAAACTCTGGTTAATTCTTGTTTGTCCATCATTACTTTTAAATGATTACGTGACGATATGTTATACAAGTAACTATAATGCTGCGTTTTAGAAATAAGATTATATAACGTTTTCAAAAAACTCTCTGTATTACTGTTGCATCGTACAAAGGACAGTAATAGAACATTATTATCTTTCGAATACAGAGGTATTATTTTTGCTCTCTAAAAAACAGTCCCCCAGTGGCTCAGTTTTACAGTTTACAATGCTACGAACTGGGTTTCTATACA